CGAAGGGACCGCTGGTTGTCAACAAACAACTTTCCAATTTCAGAGCCAATTTCAACTTCACAGCGAAGGATATTGGACTCGAGAAAACACAAGTTCAACTTCACAACGAAGGGATGCTCGTTGTCAACAAACAATTTCCCAATTTCAGAGCCAATTTCAACTTCACATCGAAGGATATTGGACTCCAGACAACGCAAGTTCAACTTCACGACGAAGGGACCGCTGGTTGTCAATAAACAATTTCCCAATTTTAGAGCCAATTTCAACACAGTGAAAGATATTGGACTCGAGACAACACAAGTTCAACTTCACAACGAAGGGACGGCTGGTTGTCAACAAACAATTTCCCAATTTCAGAGCCAATTTCAACTTCACATCGAAGGATATTGGACTACAGACAACGCAAGTTCAACTTCACGACGAAGGGACCGCTGGTTGTCAATAAACAACTTCTCAATTTCAGAGCCAATTTCAACTTCACAGCGAAGGATATTGGACTCGAGACAACACAAGTTTAACTTCACAACGAAGGGACGACTGGTTGTCAACAAACAATTTCCCAATTTCAGAGCCAATTTCAACTTCACATCGAAGGATATTGGACTCCAGACAACGCAAGTTCAACTTCACGACGAAGGGACCGCTGGTTGTCAATAAACAATTTTCCAATTTCAGAGCCAATTTCAACTTCACAGCAAAGGATATTGGACTCAAGACAACACAAGTTCAACTTCACAAGGAAGGGACGGCTGGTTGTCAACAAACAACTTCCCAATTTCAGAGCCAATTTCAACTTTACAGCGAAGGATATTGGACTCGAGACAACACAAGTTCAACTTCACAACGAAGGGACGACTGGTTGTCAACAAACAAATTCCCAGTTCCAGAACCAATTTCAACTTCACAGCGGAGGATATTGGACTCGGAACAATACAATTTACTTGGATTTCAACTTCACAACAAAGGATATCCAATTCAAGGCTCAACTTCACAACGAAGGGGCCACCCACGGTTTCAACTTCATGGCGAAGGGAATCGTGCACACAAGCAGCATCTATCTTTAGATTGGATTTCAACTTCACGACGAAGGATATCCAACTCAAAGAAGGAGTATCTGTCAACAAAGACGTTCAAGTTCGATTACACTCAGCTCCAAGGCGCATCATTTACAGCATAGCTCAAGGCTAGAAGGGCTATTTGTCAGCAAAGACCTTCGAGTTCGACTACACTCAGCTCCAAGGCACATCATTTGCAACATAACTCAAGGTAAGAAGGGCTATTTTCCAACAAAAGACCTTCGAGTTCGACTACGCTTAACTCTAAGGCATATCATTTGCAGTATAACTCAAGGCTAGAAGGGTGATTTGTCATCAAAAACCTTCGAGTTCGATTATATTCAACTCAGAGGCAAATCAAATTTACAGCATAACTCAAGACGAGAAGGGTTATCTACCATCAAAATTGTCGAGTTCGATTCCATTCAGCTCGATGACACTTAAATCGCACTACTTTCCGGTTGCAGTCGAGGTTTTCAAGTCTAGAAGAGGACCTGGGTTAGCCGTGCCTTAGTGACAAGCAATCATTTTCAAGCAGCATAGCTTAAGTCAAGAAAAAGCTATCTGTCAATGAAGATTTCTGAGTTCGATTCCAATCCAAGGTCTTTAAACCGAGAAGAAGACCGAAGGGCAACGGGAAGCCACGTGCTGATTCAAATTCCAAACTACGGCTTCAATTTCATATCATTTCAAGATGAACTTGACTTCAAGATGGAGGAGTCATCCGTAACTCAATTCGACAGAGAGTTATTGAAACATCAGAGTTAATTTTCAACTCCACTGAACGAAAAGTGTGTCTTTTAATCTTTGCCCTATCCCCGTTACACGACTATGGGCAAAGAGGGGCAGCTGTCAATACACATTTTCGTCCTACTAGTATTCAAACTCCTAAAAATAAGATAGAATTTTGCTAGGATTCAAACTCCTAAAAATAGGATAGAGTTCTACTATTATTTAAACTCCTAAAGATAGGATCCACAAGCATTATAAATAGCCATTGTAACTCACTATTGTAACACAAGAGGATATACGAAATACCAAGCAAAAAATTACAAGCAACTCGTAGCCATTTTTCGAAGCATTTATATTTTGAAAGGTAAAGTTCATACATTCGCATGTTATTTTTCCTTACCCTTGTTGTGTTTTGATTCGAAAGAAAACTGAGAGAAGTGTTTTTGGCCGATGAACGGAGGCGTTTTCGAGATATATTTTTGTACATCTAATCCCCGAGGCTTGTGTTTTTAAAAAAACTATTCGGATTTTTATAAACGGGTCGTGTGGATCCGCGTGTTTTATCATTTTTTTTCTTCGATTGGCTTTTAATTTTGACCCCTAATTCATTTTTTATTTTAATTTAACCCTTATTATTTATATATATATATATATATATAATTATATTTTATTTATTTATTTATTTATTATATTTTTTCATTTTTCTTTGCGTTATATTATATTATTTTCCTATTATTATATATATATATATTATTTTTTATCTATGTTTACTTATTTACTATATTTTCCTAACGTTATATATATATATATATTATTACTTCATTTTATTTTATATTTCTATGATTACTATTTTTTTAGTTAATATTATATGTAAATTTATTTTTCATTTATTTATTATTATTGTTACTATTTAGTATTTTATTATATTATACATACATTTTTATATTTTTATATTTTTATATATTTTTTATTTTTTTATTTTATTTATACTATTTATTTATTTTCATTATGTTTTTAGTTTCTTTGCTCTTATTATTTTTCTTTTTTTAAAAAACACTTTACCTTTTTTATTCTTTTTTGTATATATATTTTTTTCTTCATTTATTTTATTTTATTCAATTTCATTTTTTTATATTTGTTTCATCCAATTATTTTATGTTTATTATTATTGGTTTCATTTATTTCCTTGGTTTACTCTTTAGTTTTGTTACTTTCTTTTATTATTATTAATTTCTTTTAACATCTTATTTTAATTTTTTAAAGGTTATTTCCGTAAACTCATTAAGGGTAAGTAATTCGGATCAAATTTTACCTTTTAATTTAACTTGCAATTTTCTTAATCAAAGACAACTGGAAATTACGTAGTACCGAAAGGGCGGTTCAAGGGTGCTAATCCTTCCTTGACCGTAACCGACTCTCGAACCCGACACATCTTTGGAAAGACGCAGATCAGCTAAGAAATAGGGTATCCGATCAACCCATTTGTTTTAAATAAATGATCGGTGGCGACTCCCAATCCACATTTTTCAAGTCGAAACCTAATTCCGGGGCCCAACCGAAAGACGGTTACGACAGGGACGATGACATAGCTAACAGTTGATCACGTGACATGCTACACAAAAATGTCGTCATTTTCATGCGATTGTTTTGATGCTTAAAACGACGTCGTATTAGACATTAAACTTTAGGAGTGTATCGATTATGCCAATGAACTTTTATATAATTTTCTTTTTGACCGCTACATTTTCACTACAAAATCGGTATCAAAATGTTCGTATTTGACTCCTCATTCTTCTCATATGATTAGTTTTCTATGAAACCCACTCAAAATCAACGAAATTAAACACAAAAGTCTACCATTTTTTAGATGTTTGGAGACTTTATTAGATTTACAGGATTTGAGATGTTTGTTAAAAATCTAAATGGTGAAAAATATTATTTCTAGAAGTCAAACAACATACCTCAAAATTAGCTTCATCAGTCGGTCATTAAAAGAGATCAAAGTACTAATATATTGAACTTGTAAATGGATTTGTGTCGATTTTGAGTGTGTTTCATGGAAAATAAATCCTAGGAGAAGAAAGAGGAGTGAAATACGTACGTTTTGTATTGATCTTACTGCGACATATGACCAATGAATGGCGGTGCATAGTTATCGACGACGACCAAAAAAGTGTAGGGTAAAAAAAACATGTTTAAAAGTTTAGTGACAAAACCAATACATCCAAAAAGTTTAATGTCTAATACGACGTCTAACAACTACGCTAAAACGACGTCATTTGGATGTGCATGCCACATTAGCAACCGTTAGCCATGTCGTCGTCCTGTGAGTGACTTAACGATGTAGTGACATAATTGACTATAAAATTAAAGTATAGTGTTATAATTGATAGAATTGAAAGTTCAGTGGTATAAACGAGTAAGCGGGCAAAGTTCAGTGTATCTGACGTAGTTTACCCTTAAATTTATTTATGTAATAAAAAACAATTTCAATTTTTATACTTGGCCTCAAACTTAACTATTCATTTTTAAATTTGAGTTCAAATTTCTATTTTTTTAATATTAATAAATGATACTCCATATTTGAACATAAAAAATGGATTAAACTCACGAATTATCAAATAAAATGTTAAAATATATAAGAATTGACTAATTTGATAGCTTAATTTCAACTTAATACTAGTAATTAAAAATATACAAATTATATTTTAAAATAAATATCTGAGTTGACTAAGAAATAATTAAGTTGAATATTATAATATTTAAATTTTGATAGATTGATTTCACTTAATAATACCAAGTAAAATTCGATTTTGTTTCTAAGTGGAAGCTAAAGGGAACAAGGACAGAATTTATTGACGCATTTAATATATGGTTTCTTTTAGTGGATATATGCTGTTTAAACTATTCTTTTTTAAATGCTTAAACTAAAAAGTTTAAGTATTAAATGTTTTATTCTATTATTATTTTAAGATTGAAATACTAGGATTTGTAAAATCATTAATTTTAAAAAAAAAATTTAAATCTTAAAATGACAATAAAATAAAATATTATATATTTATCATATAAAAATAAAAAAAATGTAAACCCCTTATTATTAAAGCATTTTATTTTTACTCAAAACCATGAGTCCACCTAACTCCATCCTTTCATATGGTTCAAGGTGGTGGTCGTCTCAAATTTTAATCGTCTCTTTTGAACCATCGAGTTGTCTTTCAATCATTCTCTTCTGTAAATCATTCACTAGTTTTCTCTTTAAAATTCTCGCCGTTTCTATATATAAAATCTCTCTCTCTTCCGGTCTTCAGATCCCATGGCGAAGAAGGTGATATTTTTCTGGGTTTTCCTTGCTTTTGCATCAGAGCAAGTTTTTTCACAACCGGATCAGTTCATCTTCAATGGATTCCATGGTTCAGCCAACAACAACATGAGCTTAACCGGAGTTGCAGACATTTCAAACAATGGGTTACTCTGTTTAACCAACACAACGTCTCGTGTAAGTGGCCATGCTTTTTACTCATCTCCATTTCGATTCAAGAACTCAAACGAAAGCAAAGTTTCTTCTTTCTCGACTGCTTTCGTTTTCGCCACTGTTCCCGAGTACCCAAAGCTCGGTGGTCATGGCCTTGCTTTCGTTCTTTCGCCTTCAAAGCAGCTTTCGGGCTCTCCCAGTCAATACCTAGGCTTGCTTAAAGCAAACGAGAATGGGAACTCAAGCGACCATATATTTGCAGTAGAGTTTGATACCGTGAAAGATTTGGAGTTCGGTGATATTGATGATAACCATGTTGGTGTTAATCTCAATAGCATGAGATCAATTGCTTCAGCTTCGGCAGCGTATTTTCTTAAAAACTCGACAAAAAAAGAGTTGCTCCTCGGGAGTGGGAGACAAATTCAGGCTTGGATCGATTATGACTCACCCAAAAATCGATTAGATGTAAGGCTTTCACTGTTTTCTGAGAAACCAAGATCCTCAACTTTGTCCATTGATCTGAATCTTTCATCAATTCTCCAGGATTCCATGTTTGTGGGGTTTTCAGCTTCAACTGGTTTGCTTGCGAGCTCTCACTACATCTTGGGATGGAGCTTCAACATGAGTGGGGAGGCTCAATCTTTGTCTTTATCTTCTTTGCCTTCTCTTCCAAGGCCTAAACAGAATCACACTGTCTTAACCCTCTGTCTTACGTTTGCAGCTGTTGTTGTAATAATGTCGATTGTTTTCGTCTCGTTTTACCTTGTCCGAAAATTCAAGGGATCGGACGTAATCGAGGCATGGGAACTGGAAATTGGTCCTCACAGGTTTTCTTACCAAGAACTCAAGAAAGCAACGAGGGGTTTCAGTGACAAAGAGCTGCTTGGATTTGGTGGATTTGGCAGAGTTTACAAAGGAACTCTGCCGAGTACAAACACTCAGGTTGCTGTCAAACGGATTTCTCATGAATCGAAACAAGGTCTAAGAGAATTCGTGTCGGAGATTGCGACTATCGGCCGTTTACGACATCGGAATATGGTTCCGCTCCTTGGGTGGTGTCGTTGCCGGGGCGATCTGTTGATTGTATATGATTATATGCCTAATGGTAGCTTGGATAAGTACCTGTTTGATGAACCTAAACGAGTTCTCAGTTGGGACGAGAGGTTCAGGATAATCAAAGGTGTTGCTTCGGGTCTTTTATATTTGCATGAAGAATGGGAACAAACTGTGATCCATAGAGATATCAAGGCAGGCAATGTGCTATTAGATTCCGATCTAAACGGAAGGCTTGGCGACTTTGGTCTGGCTAAGTTATACGAGCACGGCTCGAACCCAAGCACAACCAAGGTGGTCGGTACATTGGGTTATCTAGCACCCGAACTTACGAAAACTGGCAAGCCTACAATGGCTACCGATGTGTTTGCATTTGGTGCACTTTTGCTTGAAGTGGCATGCGGGAGAAAACCTATTGAACCAAAGGCATTGCCCGAAGAGCTGATTTTGGTGGATTGGGTATGGGAACAATGGCAAAGTGGAGCAGCACTTGAGGTTGTGGACCCGAAATTGAATTGTGACTTCGATGAGGTAGAGGCAATCGTTGTGATCAAGCTCGGATTGATGTGTTCAAACAATGAACCAGACGCAAGGCCGACAATGAGACAATTAGTACGATACTTGGAAGGGGAGGTGCTGCTGCCAGAAGTGGTGCCATCGCCTGGCGGATATGATAGCAAAAAGGGTCATGGAAGTGGCTGTACCGGCACGGGTGCCACCCGGTTTGAAGATTTTGTGCATTCATATCCAAATTCATCGCATTTTGACGACAAGGTTGGTACATATTCGCCAACCTATGAAGACGGTGATGTGGATATTGAAGCAGGTTCACGTTCAACAACACCTATATCGATCTCCGGCAGTGGAAATGACAGATAACCATTGTAAATCAAACCAAAATCCTTTCAAGTCTATGTTATTCGGATTCAAGTGAGCGTTAAGTATGTTCATGCGGTTCTGCTCAAAATTATCATTGAAAGATCCTTTTACTGTTCCCATATTGGAATATGTGCGGAGATTTAACCATCTAAGGTTTCCAGTGGTTAGAGTTGTGGGCAGTTTTGTAAATACGAGGAGATATTGTTTATTTTTTTTCCTTTTCAAGCAGGTTATCAAGTTGAATCTATTGGACCTATATCAACGGTGGTGAAAACTTTGTAATAACTTGAGTAGGCAGAGGTAGCCGACAGCAGTGTTGTCGATTAGCCAAACTTCTGATAAACCATTTTCAGAATTGAAAAATGAAAGTCAAATATTAGTTAGAGAGCATTAGCCCCCTGAAAGGTACTGGGCACCAGAAAACCCATTATTAAATACAAACATAATACCAAACAAATATTAGTTTATTAGGCATGAAATAAACAACTTAAGTAGTTAAAGGGATTGTTGATATCTCTAACAATTCTGATTCAAGTAGTCGGTAGGAGTGTTTAATAGTTTATTGTAAATGATCTAGAGTCTTTCTATTTCCATGAAATTATGCTGCGATAATTTGGTTGCCCTTCAATATTCTATTTCATGAACATACTAGATGGATTTTCATTCATATTTTTGATTAGGCACTTTGGGTGCATGCTCAGATTTCTTGGCAAAAGAATAAAAGCCTAGGCATTGGTTCAATGCTTCTTTTTGCAATCGCTTTATTTTTTTATGAGATCAAATTGTTAACTTGGCAGCAGCAGCAGATGTTTGGCAAGTTTAAACACCAACATCATCTCTTGATTCAGAATCTCTTACTCCCTCTTCTTCAACAAATGCATCTATAAATTTATTGTCTTCTACATCAAGATCTTCCAGTGCATCAACTGTTGTCTCAGTTGCTGTTCCTGTTGCTCTTTCTTTTCCAAATATTTGAGCAAAGTCGTCAAAGAATAGAAATGGCGTGTTTCTCAATCCAGCAGCAGTTAGATGACTCTACAAGATAATAATAAAATCTTATATTTAATAAATTTTACAATTACATATGTAGATAGGAAAGACCACAGAAAGAAGATAAATTCAATTAAAATACTTACTCTAACCCAATCATCAAATATGTCATTTGGTGCAGTCAAACATTTTTCTTCTTCATTCCAACCAAATCCACTTCCAATATTAAGCATTTCTGATAAAACATTGTATTGTCTTTTCAGTGACTTCACGCTAGATTCAATATGTGGATGAACCCTAATTTTTGATGTCGGAAGCTTGGTTTCTAACATTTTTTTAAAGATGAGATAGATAACTTGCTCTAAATGTTCCATTATCAGCTTTACAATATGGGTCTTCTGCCAAAATGTGTAAGCATTCAACAAGTGCATCATCCTCCTGTTTAATCCACGTCCTTTTAGTAACTATAGACTTAAACTTTCCAGATGTTCGTTTTTCCCCTTCTGATATTCCATATTTGGTGTTGACATATTGCACTTCGAAACAATCTAAGAAGATGTATATAAAAAATGTATAACATAACATAAAACATGTCATCATTGTCAATAATAATCATAAATGAAATTTAAATAGTAACATAATCTAAATTAAATGTAGTGAATGACATAATATGTAATGAATGTCCATAACAAAGGCAATTTAAATTTTAAAGAAGAGAAATACATAAAATTTAATAACGTTAATGACATAAAATATAAAGAAGTCAAATACATGAAATTAATGACCATTAACATTAGATAAAATACAAGGTGACAGTCCATACGTAACATAAAATAAAATCTATCCTAAACTACGTGACACCAATCAACTAGTAAACATGTGCTAATTTGTCTCTCCACTCACTTCAAGCAGTACTTGGCTCACAATGTCTGATCATTTCTACCTCATTAATCTCTTCAACATGCCTACTATCTTCAGTATAGTCAGATTCAATAGGATCAATTGGCATCTCAGATCTTATGAAATTATGGAGAAGACAACGAGCGGAAATGAGTCTACATTGTGTTTTCACTGGATAAAATGATTTTCCCTTAAAATTGCCCATTTTACTTTCAATATGCCAAAACATCTCTCAATGCAATTCCTAGCTTGAGAATGTTTCATGTTGAAATATTCTTGAGGGGTGGTAGGTTGGTGTCCTTCTCTCCAATCATTCAAGTGGTATCTTTGACCTCTATATGGTGCAAGAAATCCCTCTCCATTCGTGTATCCAACATCACATAAGTAGTAACACTCTATATTATTTTAATTTAAAAAGTGAATTAATATACAAAACTTGTAAGAACTTTACATTCTTTTATATATATATATATATATATATATATATATAATTACCTAAGCATTTACCTTGTGGAACATTTAAATCATTTCTTCTACTAATGACATCTTTGAGTATTCTACCATCAGCTGCAGAACCTTCCCACCCAGGTAAAACATAAATGAATTGCATGTTTGGTGTGCAAACACCAAGTACATTTGTCGCAATTTCATTTTTTTCCTGTTCTATACCTAGGTTTATCAATTGAAGCAACATTGACCTTAATATACGTTCCATCTAAAGCACCCAAACATCCCTATATTCATAAAATAAATTTAAATTACATTATTAGTTTCCATTTATGTATTAAATTTCACTAATTAACTTATAAGTAATTTAAGAATTATGATACAATACCTTAAACCATTCCATCTATCGTCTGTTGAATTCTCTTGTATCGGTTTTGGTTTTCTAAAAAGAATCGGATGCAATCTCAAAACTGAAGCTAACACTGTATGGAGAACTCTACTAATTGTTTCACCAGATCTAACTTTTTGACGTTTTAGAACTCTATTCTTAATATGGTGGGATATAGTATGAAGGAAAGTAATAACCATTTCTTCTATAGACATATATCGACTCTCTTTTAACCCACCTTGACTTTGTAATAGGTGACACAATTTGAGAAATGTTCTCCTATCCATTCGAAAATTATCAACACTTTGTCTATCACTTTCAAATACAATTTTATGTAAATTAAGTGATCTAATATTATGTCTATGAAGTCTTTCATGTGCATAACTTATTTTAGGTCTATTTTTATATTTTATAAGAACAAGTGAAATAATCATAAGCATATGATACACAATCTCCATCATTTGCAGTTGTAAAAAAAGAATTCTGGCGATATGTGTATTCTTTCACATTGGTAAACGAGTCATAACTGTTTTTATGAACAAACATTTTAATATTAGAAAATAATAATATTAAACAAGAACAATTGTTTGTCATAACAATAAAAATAAATGAAAACTAATTTAACAGTTCTCAAGTCAAGATTTTAACATAAGTTTAGAAAATTAAAGAAAATCTAAGAGCAACTAAAGGTAGACTTATGAAGTAGCTTGGTGTATTTGAAATATAGAAGTGTCACTAAACTTTGACAATTTTAACTATTTCTTCAACTGTACATTTGTATCCTTAGACTAGAGATTTGTAAACCACCTTGTTGATGGTATTCTTACAGTTGAAAATTAGTCTATTACCATATAGCATAGTTGATTTCCATATTTCATTTACTTTAACAAAGTCATTAGCGTAGCAGTAAAAAATTTATATTATTATAAGTAATTGAATATCTAATCTAATGTTCCAACAATATATCTATATTTATATATGTGTACATATTCTTGCAATATATATATACAGTGAATTTTTGTTACCAGCAAGAAAAAAAATCATAAAATCATACACGTTTGAATTCTAAAGTATTTTTCTTTCTAAAAGAAAGATTAATTGAAATGAATCAAAAAGGGAGGAAAATAAAAAAACAAAAGCAATCAAAAGCACCATCAAGAGAAGAATCAAAAGGTTTTCTTTGACAGAAACGAAAGCACACAAGCAGGAAACTAAGAATCAAAAATAAAAGCAATCAAAAGCACCATTAGGAGAAGAATCAAAAGGTTTTCTTTAACAGAAACAAAACCAAAACTATGGAAACTAAGAATAAAAAACAAAAACAACTAAAAGCACCATTAACAAAAGAATCAAAAGATGTTCTTTGACATAAACAAAGCAAAAAAATATGACAACTAAGTATTATTAATTGAAATAAATGAAAGGGAGTGGGGGAGAAATCTTACCAGGACATGAAAGGAAAAAAACTAAACTTTTTTTTCTAGACAGAAGCTAGGTCACAGGGAGAAGATAAGGAACAAAGTAAGGGTATTTTAGCCCAAATGCACGGAATAAATAAAATACCTATATAATATGTGAAAATGACATTCTCAATAATAATCCCTTAAAAAGTTACTGTTGGCAATGAGTTATTACTCTCAATTGGGAATCTTTCCCATCCAAAAGTGGGTATTACATTCTGGAGAAAAAAAAATTCCTCCCAGTAATCATCAATTCCATGATTCAAACACCCCTAAGAAAAGTCCCCCCCCCCCTAAAAAGTGTTACCTCAATCAATATTACAACTGGAAAAGACTGCAGAAAGAACAAGCTCGCATAAACTGGTTTAAGCTGATGGTAGAAGGTGTTGTCTGAAAGAACGTATTAAAACCGAAGCTTATCAAATCACTTGTCTGCTTCTCTTTGATTGCCATTGCTCGATGGATTGAGAAAATCCAGACATCAGGAGTTAATTTTCCAGATCCCAGTTCTGTATCCTATGGACATGAGGGCAAGTTCCCAAAGCATGTTCGGTATACTCAATGGATTTACCTTGGATCCAGGAATCTCAGACCAGTTTACAGATATCTCCAGCATCGGAATACTGAACCATTTACAAAGGAAAACAAGTTCAACATCGAAACACCACCTGCACATGTAATTCAAGGGTGATTCTAAGTCAGTTAACAAAAAATTTTCCAAGAGATCAAAGAAATGACTATGATATCTTCTCTCATTACCTAAATGCTAGACCTCGGACAAGTTAATTTAAAACAAACAAAGCCCACAAGTGTGTTCAAGATGAGAGGCGGAAGGATGAAACAAACATGAACATGAATATCTATTACTAAAAAGAATGCTTAATTCCTTTTTTATTGTTTCTGTCTGTTCTCAGCAACTAAAAAATGAATTTCCTTTATGAGTTCACCTCCATCCATTTCTTTCTAATTTTCTATCATTTATTTCTCCTTATTTGATGCTTATCAGTAAATGGGAAACATCAGAAAAGCATTAGAGTATCAAAGAGAAAACAAGCATGTCAATGGCAGTTTGGTGATCTAAGTATGTAGTTTAGATTTGTTTTGAACTATTAACGACAGGATAAGCGAGTAGTGACACAGGCTTTGCTTGGTTAAGTGGAAAAACAGGAGGATGGAAGGAGAGAGTGAAAAAGTATAAAGAAAATAAATTGTGAACGTAATTGGTAAGAAAGAAAAATGACAGGAATAGTCATTTTACATTCTCATGTGTAAAAGCAAATCATTATAATTAATTTGGAAGGAAAAGAAGAGATAAAATGTGAGAGATATGTAAGATAGTTCAAAATTATGTATTTTCAAAAGCTTTATTTTCTTTCCTCTCATTTTTCAACTATACCAAGCAATGAACGAAAGAAAATTACATTTTCTTTCATTTTTTTCCATCTTTCCTACCAAGCACACTAATGGAAAACATAAATATTTTCCATATTTCTACTTATGGATAGTTGCATATTGTCCCCGAGATCACCTTTTCAACCGGATGTTGGTAAAAATCTTCCTTGCTGCAGACCTAGTAAACATCTTAAAACCACACTGCATTTTATGAAGAAATTCAGATAAGGAAAACTTTTATAGACAATTCAGTACATATTATGATAGTAATAGAGAGGATACGTTACTTTAGGGAAGAAAGTTAGAAACCTTTACAGTAATGGAACACACCTGTGTATCACGAATACCAGGACCAGCAGCCAAGAGAACCACAAGATGAAAACCCTTCATCAAAAAATTGCGGTACCACTTCCTCTAAAACATAGAAGAATTTAACAAATTCAATAAGAACTCTGCAACTTAGAATACAGTATTAAAATATGAATAAATAACAAGCCTTGTAAGTAAACTTAACTGTAGCCAGAGCTTTTTCCTCAAGATGGGCACGAGATCCAAATGCAACTATTGGGATATCAGATATTCTAAAAGTCTCCTTATCAGCTGCCGGATCACCATGATGATCTTTTCTTGCAACTGCATGGATCTGAAGTGTAGAACATCAGATAATCTGTACCACACGGTATATCTTCACCAATGCTAGTCAGTCTTTTACAAACCTGATTTTCAAGTTTTTCTAGGTCGGTAACCTTGGTAGCCCCATCGGCATCTAGCATTAGAAGTAATTCACCACGTGAATGTAGCATTCCCTGTTTTACAATGCTTTCAATGCAGGGAGCATCAGGAAATGTTTGTGAATATCCAAATAAATGGCTTAGGTTAGACTCACTTTTCTTATTGCTTCTCCTTTTCCGTGGTTTTTACCAAGCAGGATAACCTTCACATTGTTTACACCATACTTCTTTACGAAGTCGAAAGCTACTCTCTTTGTTCCATCCCTACTTCCATCATCAACGATCAATACCTGCATCTCGTGCAAGTAAGAGGCATGCATGCATCAAATAAAAATTTAAAATTGTCTTTTTCTTCAAAAAGGAAAAAACGTTTTCCCCTGAGGCAGTGAGCCAGAAACACAATTAACCTATTTCATGATAGGCTACCGATCATAATAGGCTTCACAAACCAATTTAACTGATTCAGTTAAAAGACGAAACAAGAAAGGTACCTCATAAGAAAATGATTTATCATTTGCTTCCCGTTGTTGAAGATAACTGCATGGTAGCAACATAAAACGATTACCATTTAACATCATAATCTTTTCAGTGACAATAATGGATGTATTTTCAAATTAACTCATCGAAACATGTCTAAGAAACAATATCTTTTGTCTTGAAACGTCTAAGAAACCATATTTCTAATCCTGAAAACAAGGCAATGGTTAATCAAAGCTACAAATAGAGAACGAAGAGCTAAAGAAAGAAAGAAAAAATCCTTAGTTCTATTGTTATGATGTGAGAAACATAAGTCAATTAATTGAAATAATCCTGCATTTTCATGTCTACTTTTTTTTGCCCATTTTATGTGAAGAAATTGGATTGACATCCTGGCATTTCAAGATATTACTAAATATTAACTATTGAAAATAAGCATCCTGCATTTTTCATATGTAAAAGCTATTTTTGTTATCACAAACCATCCAACTGAAGCACATATGTTCAGACTAAGGATTTAGAAAAAGAGGCATTAGCTTACTTCATGGTTTCATCAAGAGCACCAGGAAACCTACGTTCTTCATTGAAAGCAGGAATTATCAATGACAAGTATTTCTCTGCTGGATCAAAAATATAGGGACAAGGAACCTGGAAATAATGCATACAGAAAATTCTTAGAACATGTACCCACTTCATATATATCATTGTCCCATAAATAAAAAAAATTAAAATAGAAATATCATATTAAAAAGAATAAACTCGAAAAGTGAATTACAGAATTCTAATTGGTATCATTAGTTCTTGCACGTATGTCTAATAACATAGACTTCTTCACATACACAAAATGAAGGGAAAATGCTATCAATTCTAGCCTTTTTAATTTCTTTGTTTTTTTTTCCTTTTCTATTCACTTGTTGGATTAAAATGAAAGGAGCTATAAAACCAAGTCCCATTTTCATGAACTTAATTAGCAATACTGACTATTTAGTTACATTTAGCTTCTCAAAGTTGACTCTTCACTAATTTCCTAATAAAAATCAAACGAATACAAGAAGTTCCGCCACCAAACAAGCGATTGCAAAGAACAACCCAAATGTGAATAAAACAATATGTAAAAGTAACTTTACCTGTTTCAATGAGTTCGGATCCTCAAAGATCGCCGGCGCTTCAACATGACTAAATTGGAGAAAGAAAAGAGTATGAATTAAAACGAAATCAAATAAAACCAAAAACGATCAAATTAGGGTTAAAAAAGAGTACGCATTATTGTGACGTCTTCTGTAGGCTTCCAGAACGATTACAGAAACTAAACCTAAAACAAAGATCAAAACCAAAACCGCCAAAAACTCCAGCATCGTCAATAAAACTTCCATTTCCCCTTTTTTCGAGTTTTTTTCTTTTTCTTTTCCCCCCAAGCTTTTAGCTGCTGGTGGGTGGAGGCAAGAGTAAACAGAGACTTTTCTTCAACGAAAATGAAAATTCCGTCGGTAGATTAGCCTCAGTGGTCGTGGGTTCGAACCTTAATATATAGATTAGATATTTGGGTAAACTATCTAAATGGTTATTTAATCTCGAATAAACTATCTATTTGGTATATATTTTTATACTTCTATTTTATAGAATCATAACTTAACATTATATCTAACATTGAACGTTCACGTATTTAGTATTTCTGGTAATTGATTCGGAATTTTAATGAATAATAATATTTTTTTATTATTAAGATCATTTGATTCGTGCATAATTTTAATTTTAAAATTTGTACATTTTAATAATTAATTTTTAAATATAAATAATTTACCAAATTTTATCATTATCTTAAATATTTGGGACAAACCCCAAAATTTCCAAATTCACATCCCCTCTCCCAATTTCCTATCATTACAAATAGCTTTTCCTATCTCCAAGCCACCATCACGTGACCATGGAACTAGCAAACAGACTGCCCCCTTAACCCCCTAAGCACTATCACACACACTTGGACCATCCTAAAGAATCGTACTCAACACCCAGCTCGCGAAACCACTGTATCACTTGGTGCCATTAATATCTTATTATTTTTGGGAAATAAACAAGTAACGAGTAATTTTTTCTATAACCAGATTAGTTAGAATGCAAAATAAAAACGAAAAAATAATACCCGAAATTGATAACAGAGTTCAACCAATTGTGCTTACGTCTCTGGACTGCTGCAGATCTTTTACTAAGAAAGGAAATTTACAGGTGTTTACAAAACACTCACTACTCACAAGAAACTCTATAGTATTGGGAGAAAGAAATGATTTGGGATCATTTTGAAGCTAAATGGGCTAGGGTATTTATAGTTGAAGCTTAAGGACTTAATCTTGTAAATATCCTAAAATACAATGGCTAAATGTATGATTTAACCATTACCAAATTCAACCAAAATTTCCAACCTTTGAAATAAGCACCATTCGGTGCCAAACATTATTGAAAAAACCCAAGTCCCCCTTTGAAAAAATGCATTAGGCGGTGCCCACCCCTTTGATAATTTCCATTTCCTTGAGCCACTATTATTGACTTCCAATAATCTCCCACTTGAAGACTGATTTTAATCTGTCTTCACACCTTGATCAATGCATCAACATTTCTGGTCTTGTTATTCTAGCATGCCAACTGAAGCTGAACACAACTTCAGTTTGTCCGTAGTCACCGTCTTTGTCAAACATGTCTGCTGGATTTTGAGCTCCACTGATCTCTTCAAGTTTCAAAATCTCATATTCCTGAAGAGACCGGATAAAATGATATCTCAATTGTATGTGTTTTGTTCTGGAATGAAAAGACGGATTCTTTGCTAGATGTATAGCACTTTGACTGTCGCAATATAAAACATTGTTCTCTTGTTTCTTGCCTAACTCTTCTAAGAAACTTTGGAGCCAAACCATCTCCTTGTTGGCTTCCATAACAGAGACATATTCTGCTTCAGTTGTGGAGAGAGCAACTATCTTCTGTAGTTGAGAAACCCAACTCACTGCAGTTCCTCCTAGAGTATAGACATACACTGTAGTGCTTCTTCTGATGTCGACATTTTCAGCTAAGTCAGCATCTACATAGCCTGTCAGTATCGTATCTCCACCTTTAAAACAAAGTGCTTTGTTTGTAGTACCCCACATATATCTGAGGATCCATTTAACTTCTTCCCAGTGTACCTTGCCCTGATTATTCATGTACCTACTAACAGCTCCCACTGCATGGGCAATATCTGGTCTGGTACAAACCATGGCATACATCAGACTTCCAATTGTTGAGCCATACGGCACCTTCACCATGTGTACACGTTCTTCCTCCGTCTTTGGTGACTGTTCTTTGGAGAGTCTAAAATGAACACCTAAAGGTGTACTTACTGGTTTAGCATCTTACATGTTGAACCTGGAGAGTACTTTGTTGATGTACTCAGCCTGTGATAACATCAAAGTCCTCGACTTTGTGTCTCTCTTGATCCTCATCCCAAGAATCTGCTTTGCAGCACCCATATCTTTCATTGCAAACTGCTTCGATAATTTTTGCTTCAAGTTTATAATCTCTTGCATGTCTGAGCCTATAACGAGCATGTCATCAACGTACAATAATAAAATAATGAAGTTGTTGTCGAACCTCTTGATGTAGCAACAATGATCTGCTTGGCATCTAGTAAAACCACTACTGCCCATGAAACTATCAAATTTTTTGTACCACTGTCTAGGAGCTTGTTTTAAACCATACAAGCTCTTCTTCAACCTGCATACCATATTTTTCTTGCCTGCCTCAATGAAGCCTTCTGGCTGCCTCATATAGATTTCTTCCTCCAAATCACCATGAAGAAAAGCTGTCTTCACATCTAACTGCTCAAGATGTAAATTCTCTGCAGCTACAATTTTCAACACCAGTCTGATTGTAGATAGTTTTACAACTGGAGAGAAAATTTCATTGTAGTCAATACCTTTCTTTTGCTGAAAACCTTTGACAACCAATCTTGCTTTGTAGCGTTTGCTCCCATCGTGCTCTTCTTTGATCCTGTAAATCCACTTGTTATGGAGTGCTTTCTTGTCTGGTGGTAATTCAGCTAATTCTCATGTCTGATTTGACATAAGTGAGTCCATCTCATCTTTCATGGAAGACTCCCACTTGACTAAATCCTCCACTTGCATTGCTTCATCATAGCACTCTGGTTCACCATTGTCGGTCAGCAACAAGTAGTACAAAGAAGGCGAATAACGTTGGGTTGGTTTAGGAATTCTGGAGGAGCGTCTTAGTTCCGGTGTGCCTGGTTCTTCTTGAGCTGCTTCAGGACTGATCTGAACATCATTTCCAGAAATCTCCTCGAACTCAGCAAATTCATTTGTTTCAGCTTTGGTATTGGAGCTGCTTGATTCTACAGTTGACCTGTCCTTGTACATCACATTCTCATTGAAAATGACATATCTACTTCTGATGATCTTTCGATTTTCATAGTCCCAAAACCGGTAATCGAACTCATCACCGCCATAACCAACAAAGGCACATTTGTTGTACTTAGCATCAAGTTTACTTCTTTCAGCAGAGTCTATGTGTACAGAATAAATACAACCAAACACTCTTAAGTGTGAAAGGTTTATTTATTTCTTGCTCCAAACTTCCTCTTGTATTCTGCCATCCAAAGGAAATGTGGGTCCACGGTTGATCAGGTAAGCTGCAGTGTTGATAGCTTCAGCCAATAGCATTTTGGGTAAGCCGGTATGTATCCTCATACTTCTGGCACGTTCATTCAGAGTTATGTTCATGCGCTCTGCTACACCATTCTGCTACGGTGTCATGGGAACTGGTATCAAAGACTTCTGATTTCTTCTTTAGAAAATAAACCCACACCTTCCTTGTTGAATCATCGATGAAGGTGATATAATATAATGAGCCCGCAAGAGATGGAACTGGAGATAGTCCACATACATCAGTACGAACCAACTCTAACTTTTCTGTCTTGGGTGTCTTGCCAATATTTGCAAAACTGACTTTCTTTTGTTTGCCAAAGATGCAATCCTCGCATAGTCCGACATCTACATTCTTTAGATCCGGTAACTTCCCTTTTGACAAAAGTGTCTTCATCCCTTTCTCGCTTATATGGCCAACCCTTTGGTACCATAGGTTTGATTTTCCATCAGCATCTACTATTGCAATGATATTCTCTAAGTTTGAGGTTATATAGAGAGTATCAGTCTTCTTACCACGAGCAATGACGAGTGCTCCTTTGGTAATCTTCCATTCACAGCCTGAAAAAGTTGTGATATATCCTTCTCTATCAAGCTGTCCTACAAAAATCAAATTTCTTTTGAGGCTAGGAATATATCTTACTCTTTTTAGTGTCCAGGTGGTCTAGTTTGGTAACTTTAATTGGATGTCTCCTTTTCTGACGATCTTCAAGGTTTCATCATCAGCTAGATGAACCTTCCCAAAATCACCACTGACGTAGTTCTCCATGATTTCTCGGCATGGGGTGGAGTGAAAAGATTCCCCTGAATCCAAGATCCATGATTCAATTGGACTGTTGACGCTTAGAATCATTTTAACACCTGTCTCCTCTGTCATGTTTGCAGATTCTTGTACGTCGGTATCTTTCTTCAGTGCTTGACGATCTCTTTTAAAGTGACCTCTTCTTGCCACAATTATAACAGGTAAAATCTTTCTTTCATGTTCTTGATTTTCCCCTTCTAGATTTCGATCTGCCACGATTTGAATTTCTTTATGAAGTTCTCCATCTGGACTCCGTGTGCAAGGCTGAAGAGGTTGATGCTTCACCCAATTCTCTCCGTCGAATTTCTTCGCTCAATACCAGATCCCGAACATCGTCGAATTTTAATTTGTTGTTTCCCGACGAGCTGCTGACTGCAGTAACAGTAGCATTCCAACTGTCTGGTAGAGATGATAAGAGAATTAAAGCTCGAACTTCATCATCAAATTCAATTTACACTGAACTCAAATGGGTTGTGATTGTGTTGAGCCACTGATGCCCCTTCCGCCATAGTGGAAAATGAGAGAGTACTTGATAACGGAATTCAATTAAAGCTCGAACTTCATCAGGAAAGCTCTAATACCAGTTGTTGGGAAATAAACAAGTAACGAGTAATTTCCCTATAACCAGATTAGTGAGAATGCGAAATAAAACGAAAAAATAATACCCGAAATTGATAACAGAGTTCAGCCAATTGTGCTTACGTCTCTGGACTTCTGCAAATCTTTTACTAAGAGAGAAAATTTACAGGTGTTTACAAAACACTCACTACTCACAAGAAACTCTCTAGTATTGGGAGAAAGAAATGATTTGGGATCATTTTGAAGCTAAATGGGCTAGGGTATTTATAGTTGAAGCTTAAGGACTTAATCTTGTAAATACCCTAAAATACAATGGCTAAATGTATGATTTAACCATTACCAAATTCAACCAAAATTTCCAACCTTTTGAAATAAGCACCATTCGGTGCCAAACATTGTGAAAAAACCCAAGCCCCCCTTGAAAAAATGCATTAGGCGATGCCCACCCCTTTGATAATTTCCATTTCCTTGAGCCACTATTATTGACTTCCAACAATTATTACTAGTATTATTATTCTAACTAAAGAACCATTAATATCTTATTTCGTTCACTAATATTTTTTTTTGAAAATTCGTTCACTAATGTAAGATAAGAAATTGTTATTCTCTTTTAAGGTATCAGGTTCGTATATAACATCTACTAGAGTATACGATCTTTTATTGTGAAATTGTTGAAAAAATATAATTTATAAAGAATTATTGTAAAAAGATTATATTAAATAAAATAAAAAATTAAGAGACGAAATAAAAAAAATTATTGTGAAAAAGAACAAATAGAATTACATTGATGCTCTATACCAGTTAAGAAACATGAAATTTAAATTTATCAAAATTTAACTTAAAACAAAGAAAGAATATAAGGAATAAAAAGTTAGAATGTAAATAAAAAACAATAAAGACCAAAAGTAATATTGTTAATCTGTTTTCAGCGAAGCTGAATTATGTTATAAAACTAAATCATTATCGTTAGAGATTAGCTTTGCTAAGGTATGTATCTGTCTTATATCCTTGAAAAGCTTTGAAATTTTTTAATACTAATATTTTGTATAATGTAACCACAAAATAAAAGGAAAAAAACAATAAAGCAGCAAGCGTGATCAAACCAGATAGATATGGATCACAAAATCAGTTTAAAAAACACTTGGACACCAAGTGGTTCAAAATAGGAAGCTGTTGGTTCAATGAAAAGCAGTAATGAAGTTCACCATGGGCAGTAATGCCGACTGCTTACCCATATGGATCATGTTGAGTCCTCACACCCGGAAGACTTAAGTTCAGTTCATGCTCATTTTTCCGGGCCATCAGCGCACACCCTCGAGGAAGAGTTGCAGGTGGCAACAAGACTTGTAAATGTACTCAGCAAAGAGTTAAAGCAACAATTTGATGACCAGTGCCTGCGTCCCACCAAATACAGTCGTTGCTTAAAAAATCGTCTACGCCATCAACAATGTAAAAGGTGTGGGGTTTTAGTTTTTGAATTTAAATTTTGATAGAAATACGTGTTTGATGGAGTATTAATTAATTAATTTTTTCTTTTAGTTTTCCATATGGAAATCAAGGGTGTTCACCATTTACAAAAACTCAGTAAACCCTCATTCCAGGGAATTAAATGTCCGAAAAACCAAGCCACCATAAATCTTTCCTTTTAACAAAGTTACTCCAACGAATGTAGTGTAAATGCCTTCCCTTGCATCAACCCAATTCCACCACTAAAACCTGCCAATAAAACATTTATTTCCGTTGCCAGACCAAAAAAAAAATCACGAGAATGATGAAACTCTACCATAATACCGGTTGGGATTGTTGTCAGAACTGCATTGATCAACGTTTCTTTCCCTGCAGCATATAACAATTTACTCTTCCATGAAACATCCTTGATTTCTCGAATCAATTCATTTTTCTTTGAGTCTGATAATCAAAAAAATATTTTTAAGAATTAAATTATTCATTTAAACTATTGAGAAGTATGTCTAAACCGATTAAGTTATTTAGATTAAATGATGATTTGACTCATGGTTAAATTGAAAATGGATGAGTGAAAATAAATGTTTAAGGACACATTTTTTGAAGAGAAAAAAAGTGAAAGTTTTACATAACAATTTGTCCATTTGAAAAGTTGGTGGGAAATTATGAAATTTTGGGAGGTACATGAATTTAAGTTTCCCTTAATTTTAAAAAAATATTTTTAAACGAATTCTATTCGCTCATGGATTGATTTGTATTAAAGGACTTAAATCAAAAGATTGATCTGCATTATCTAAAGGGATTGAACCAATCATATATTCATTTCATGTTATTTTTATATCCTACTCTATTTTATTTTTCTTATATTAGAATTTTTTTAATTGTAATTAGTTTTATAAATTTATTTAAATGATTAAATTTAATTTAATTTATATTATTTTTCAAATTCCAGGGAGTTCAATATTTTATCCATTAAAGCCCATTTTCCAATATTTTATCCATTAAAGCCCATTTTCCTTTAGGACCGTAGGAAAACAGATGGGCCCAGTCAAGGGGGTAGATTCGTCTTTTCGTAAAATGGTGAGGTTAAGGTTTTAGCCACTTCTGAGGATGAAAAGTTGATATCTCGCTCTTCAAAGACCACGAAAGCCATGATTGCCACCAAATTCTCCGTGCTTCAGCACGTGTGCGTCGTCGCCTTTACACGTGCCTCCCGCCATCGTTCCTTCACCGTCTCCGCTTCCGTCCTCCTGGGCATGTCTGAACATGACCTTCAACAACTCGCCGTCGAGTTTGGCCAGGTAATTACACAACTTAATTTACATTTATTTATTGCACTTAAAAATTCTCATAACTGTTTTTCTCTTCCATTTTTGGTTGATTGTTTAGCGAAGTTACAGAGCAAAGCAGCTACACCATTTAATTTACAAGGAAGGCAAAAGAATTCAAGATTTTAGTCATCGTGAGAATCATTTTATATAATTTATTATTTATTAATTTGGTGAATATTTAGCTTTTTTTGTTTTGTTAATAAAATAGTGCCTCAAGCATTTAGAAACGATCTTATAGAAGCTGATTGGAAAATAGGAAGGTCTCCAATTTATCACACTGTTACTGCTGCCGATGGAACTGTTAAGGTAGTTTTTTTTAAATTTTTACCTGAATGTTTATATATTGCTTCATATTTCTATGTTATTCAGATTAAAGATTGAGTGCAAGATTCTGGTATGAGTCCTACACAGCTAAGCAAATTTTGGAAGGTTTTTCAATCTATTCGGATGATCGATATCCCATACTCATGTCCTAATATGAGTATAATATAGGTGTAAAAACATATGCTTTTAGATAATAAAAAAATGAAGAGTTTCGATAACATAGGCATCTTAGGTACTTAGTTTCTGACAGCGTAACACAAAATCTGCATTTGAGATGAAATCATCAGAATATATATTGAATACAGGTCCGGAGCACATGCTTTAAGAAAAACTGAAGAGTTTAGATAACATAAGACATGTCTACTAATCAAATTTAAATCCCAAAGCATGTGGCAAAAATTGCATTGAAGAGAAATGAAATGATGTTTGGAATACAAAAGTTGAATTATAATTTTTGCGTCAATAATTATTATGCGTTAAATTTTAGTTGTTTTTTTCTATTGTATCCTTTACTTATTTTGCAATTTTAAGGAGGCAACCAGTAGCGCAAAGTAATGACTAGATAGAGAGGGTTTATTCTGGATTTATTTGTTTAGATTTATAACATCTCTGGAAGCTCCATTATTTCCCTGTAAATTAGATATTGGCTGTTATTTTGTTGTGGGGTTTTGTTCTAATTATGTATTTGTTTGTTGATCCTTCAGTTATTGATAAGTTGGAGGATAACAGATTGATCGAACGGTTGGCATTCCAGTGAAGATAAAAAGGGTTCAATGCGACTTACTGCATGCATATCATCACAGGTTTTTTTTAATCATTTATTTATAGTTGCTGTTAGGAGTTGGTTGGAGGAAGATTTTCTTCAGTTGTTAGCATTTCTGGTGTTATCTCATGCAATACTTTTGACATGTTTTCAGTTTTATTCTGATATTCAGGTAGGCTGCCCGTTGCGCTGTTCATTTTGTGCCACTGGAAAGGGAGGATATTCAAGGAATTCTTCAGAGGCATGAAATTATCGAGCAGGTATCATCCCTTTCTTTTTTTCGTTTTATTTTTTCTATGTACATGCATGTGTTCAAACCTTTTAGAAGTTAAAGAGGTCATTTCATTTTACTGATTCTTGTACTCACCTTTAAGAGGTGACTAGAAAGGGAGAGTATTCATGAATCTTGAAAGCATGAAATTTTTTAAGATCGTGTATACATCCATCTTCAACCTCTGCATTTACACATATGCTTTCAGCCTTTTTAAGAAAATAAACTGATAAGAATCTGAAATTTTACTCGATTGATTCACATAGCCGCTTTAAAGAGCTGGCTAAAAGAAATGACATTCAAGGAATCTTCAAAGGCATGAAATTATGGAGCAGATATATGATCCGTTTCGTCAATATTTTTGCATGTACATGCATGCTTTGCCAAGCTTTTTCCAGAGATTTGTACAGTTTATTCAAGCAACACCCTTAACATGTGGTATTAGTAGCTTTGAGGTTCGAATCCTAGCTGAATTGCTATATTGGAAGAACAAAGCCCTTTTTTCCGTTAGAATTACGGTGATGACATTATAGTTT